AGTTTAATGTATTTTTGCTGAATAGAATAATACATTTCTTTCAGTAAACTAGTCTGGCTCTTTCATCTAGTTTGGAGCGACGTCCTGATCCAGGGGTCTGTGTTGTACCAAATCCACTTCTTAATAATAGACTTCACTGTGCTTCTAGGCATTGATAAAGCCTTTGAAATTTTTTGTATCCATCTCCTGACTTAACTTCATCCCAGAGATCTTTTGACAGTGCTTCAGTTGTACTACCAAGGACTGAAATGCTCCAGGAAAGCTCTTTTCATGCTGAGCAAATCAAAATGACCACAGCTGATCACAGTTGAAAGTCAAATGATTTTGTGTGCCATTGAGAAGGTGATTAGCTACACCTGACTGAGTTTACAAGTCATTTTTAGGAAGGGCTGATCCTTTTTCCAACTCAGTGATTCTGGTTCTTTATTTTTGTTTGTTTCTGACATGTTGGTGTTATATCTTTCACTTGGATGTTATAAGTTGCACTGAGTAAATACAGCTGGATAAAACAAAAACTGTGTCTGTCTTCATTTTAGGCTGCAAAGCAATAAAATGTGATTCTTTTAAAGGGGGTGATTCTTTTCTATACCCACTGTATTTAGACTGTTTATGCCTGCAGTGCAGTACATGATTAGGTTGATTTGGTCTCCATTTTAACACGTTTTGTTTTTTAATTGCCTTTCATAGCAAATTGCAATAGCACGAGAGGGAGACCTGCTGACCAAGGAGCGTCTGTGCTGTGGTCTGTCCATGTTTGAAGTCATCCTGACGCGCATTCGCAGCTTCCTTCAGGACAGCGTGTGGCGAGGCCCTCCCCCCACCAATGGCGTCATGCATGTGGACGAGTGCATGGAGTTCCACCGCCTCTGGAGCGCCATGCAGTTTGTGTACTGCATCCCTGTGGGCACGCACGAGTTCACTGCAGAGTATGCATATACATTCAGCTGGGATTTTTTGAATAGTTTGTAATTTACACAAAAAATAGCAAGCAAGCACTTGATTTAGGTTCACATCATATAAATGAAATGTTTTGGGCTTTTTTGTGTTCAGGCAGTGCTTCGGTGATGGTCTGAACTGGGCTGGATGTGCCATTATTGTGCTATTAGGACAACAACGTCGCTTTGACCTCTTCGATTTCTGCTACCACTTGCTGAAGGTCCAGAGGCAGGACGGCAAAGATGAGATCATTAAGAATGTGGTAAGTTTCTGATTTCATAGACATGAACTATTTAAAAATGACAAATCATTGCAGGAAACTCTTAACACCGTTAGCGATGCAATATACACTACTCTTCAAAAGTTTGGGGTCAGCAATGTTTCTTGAGCAGTAAATCAGCATATTAGAATATTTTCTGATGGATCATGTGACACTGAAGACTGGAGTAATGATGCTGAAAATTTAAATATTTTAAAATAAAAAAACGATTATTTTAAATTGTAATAATAATTCACAATATTACTGTTTTTACTGTATTTTGATCAAATAAATGCAGCCTTGGTGAGCATAAGAGACTTCTTTCAATAACATAAAATCCTGCAGACCCCAAACCTTTGGACGATAGTGTAAATGTGCCAACTTGTAGATATGGGCTTCTGTATTTAATGTTTTGTCATGTAACTTTCAGCCCCTGAAAAAGATGGCAGACCGCATCAGAAAGTATCAGATTCTCAACAACGAGATCTTCGCCATCCTCAACAAATACATGAAGGCTGTGGAGACAGACAGCTCTACTGTAGAGCATGTTCGCTGTTTCCAGCCTCCTATACATCAGTCTCTGGCCACCACATGTTAAATAAACTTTATTTGACTATCCTATTCTTCCTCTGGTGTGACATTGGTCTCAAATGTAGTGTACAGGGCCTTTCAAGATTGCCTTCGGCTTCATTTAAATAAGAGACAAACCTCCAGTCTCGTCACATGGTTAAAAATCACAGTAGATTTCTCCGTCTTCCCCAGCTGTTATCTAACCCTTATGAATATCAACACTCCCTATCCGTATCACATTTGAAGTGAACCAGTTTGAGAGATTTAGGACTGCCGAAAATATTTCCAGGTCACCAGAGGAAGTTTTAACAAATGTTGATTAAGTTCTAGTTAAAAAAAAAAAAAAAGTAAATATAAATGACTTTTGATTATAAATAACTATTAAAAGAAAACATGATTGATGTCAGTTTAGTTTATTTGTTTTTAACAATGCCCATACAGATTTCATTTATAATAGTATTTGCATGTACCTCACAAATCTCATATATCCTAATATTGTTTGTACTGTAATATACAGACCAAAAAGCAAGAGTATGTTGAGTTATTGACAATAATTTCTCCCATTTCTAATTCTTTTATGCTCAGAATTGTTTACAGCATTCTGTTATCTTTATTGCATTACAGCACTGGTTTACAGATCTTTGCATTTGTAACATCCATCATTGTAGATGTTGCGGTCGAGAATTGCGTGTAGTACTTGTTCAAATTTTATTGGTACTTAACTGGTATCAGTATTTGCCTCAACTGTTGAAAAGTAACCTCACTTATCTTTTCTGTCAGTTTAATCTCAGTCTTTGGACTGTTAATTTGGGCTATTTTATACACAATAATCATGCGTAAACTAGTGAAGCAGTTCACCGGTCTGAAGTACTAATAACTGGATTTGTGCTGTGATGACATCTCTTTAATCACCTCTTACTGTTACAGACTACAGTAGTAATACTGCATTACCTTGACCAATAATGGACAAAAAGCAAAAATATTGGACATCTGCTGTTTCAATATCAAGGTTACTAAAATTTCAAATATTTCAGTATTTACCTTCACAGGCCCTTTGCTTCAGCAGTGTTAGGCAGATTGGCAAGCATTCTGTTCAGTTTTGTAATTTATGTGGCTGTTGTAAATGTAACCTCATGAATGCTCATCATATTCTGTTATTTCCTGGAGTTTTCAGATTGATTTTAATCCGTTTTTAAATAACCGTTGAATTAAATGGGTATTTTCCAGTAATCTATTTATGCATAAAAGTAGATTTTTCTTGCTCTTGGAAGGGTTAATATGTGAACGATGATGGAAAAAAATGTTTTGACATTAAGGACGTGCTGTTTTCAAAACTCAAAGCATGACAGGTGTAATTTATTGTCATCTATTTGTGACATGAGATTTTTGTTCATATTGTTGTACAAGTGATCATGTTTTGAAATACAGAAAAAGGAGAGAATAATACAATGTACAACAGATGGTTCTGAACAGGAATTATAATTATGTTGTATTTCCATGAAATTAAAAAAAAAAAGATCTAACGGAAAATGGCTGGCTGGCTTCATTTATTTATTTGCGTTTAGGCTCAATTGTTTAGGTTTTCAAGCAAACTATTGAATTGTAGCAGCATTTTAAGACTGGAGCTCTAGATTATCACAATCAAACATCTTGCAGTTTAATTAATAAAAGTTCCTTCAGGTCCTTTGGTGAATCTATGTTTCCTAAGGAGTCTTTTGATATTTGATTCCAACACATATCAATGAACTGTGCAATGCTCACTTGATGTATTAGCCTCAAATATCTTTAAGAAAGCTTTTTTTAAGGAGTCTTTAAATATTATTGTGTTAATGCCCAATTGGTGATTTAATCAGTAAGTTCCTGTCAATTCTCACACCTTGGGAAGGTCTGAATAGGATGTAATTAATTGCCTTGTTTTTAAGAACATTTCATCAAATGCAGGAGGCACTTAGCACTAGATAAACATTTCCCCCACATGGGGATAATGGCACAGCGGGAAATGCGAGGAATCCAGAGTTTTTTTGGTTTGTTTTTTTCCAAAACTGACTCCCCCAAGTTTTGAGGATGGTATGAATATTTTGGTCTCTCCTTTGTCAATATGAATACACAACTGGTAAAGACTGTTTTGTTAGAGCAGGAGTGTTTCTTGAGGCCTCTGACTGGCTGAGCTGAACTGGCAGGCAAATGAGGGTGGGGCTTTTAAATGGCACACAGAGTAAATGTTTGCTTTCCATCAATAAAAATGACACCCAACACCCCCAATCCGCCAAACAGCTGTCTCCCACAATGGAGAGGACTGAGATGTGGAGGGAGAGAAAGGGAGAGGGGCGAGTTGTGACCACTGAATGAGACACAATACCAACTTTACAGACTGGAAAAAAAGAGATGCACATGAATATATTTCTAGGTCAAGGATCTATATTGTAGTATCAATGTCTGAAATATATTTTTAAATTAAGGGGCAATATTTGCCTTTTAATTTTCAGGAGCATTTACCTCTAAGAAGAGCTGATTCTTTTCTAATCATATAAAAACACAGCTGTGATCAATTTGTCACATTAAATTCATTGATGTATTTGAGAATTTGTATTAACCATAAAAACTCATTTTATTTAGATGATAATATGCCTGTCTAGACCTAGAATATAAGCATTTTTTGTTACTTTTGTCATTTATTTGCTACTGATTATTCCACATATAATTCCACAAATATAGTCTTTACAAAGGTAATGGTGGTACAGCAAACCCATTCATTATATGCTAAAGGGGTTGGAGAAAGAAAGAAAGAAAGAAAGAACTCTTAGGGAAATATGATAATGTTTTGTAATTATCATTTAAATCTGGCTAATTTTCTAATTGTTTGTCGTAAATAAACATCTCAGAAAAATCAAAATATGACTTTTTGTTGCGAAGCGGCATAATTTTCGTACATGTCTTCTGTAGAGGACACCCGGACAAACATCATGTTAATCAGGTATTTTGGGGAGACACAACAAGTCAATAGGGAAATAAAATATAGATCTATATTCCTATGAATTTTTGTTATTTATTTTTTTTTTTTCAAAAATGTTTTTTTTCCATTTGTTTCTTATGCTCCAACCAATGTAATGACAAAAAAAAAATCACTAAACTTTTTTTCTGGTTCTCAGGTGGATATAACTGGCCATTTTGTGATTGCTCAATAAAGTGAATAAAGCAGTGTAGTAGGCTAGTGTGTAGTGTTCAGGGGGCAGGACGCTGGTCAGAGGGCGGGAGAACAGCGCTCGCTCATATATGAGGAGCAGCACACTTCCAAACTTTCCTGACTGGACACCTACAGCAGTTTAAACAAAGAGGTGTTGGCTTTCCAAATGCTCTGTGATACTCATTGAGAGTTAAATATCGTTTTACTTATTTAATTCACTCTGTCATTTTGCATCATTAATTAAATAATTATTTAGTTGAATAACAGCAGAAGACATGATTGACGAAGTGAAAAGGGAGAGAGGCGATCAATGGATTTCATTTTACTCCAGCGAGGTATGTTCCCATGGGAGAAAACATTTTATTCGATTTACCTGTCATTTCTAATTTTTTAATAAATGATATTTAATAGCCTAATTATTCTTAATTTTTGTTGTTTTGGGGAGAAACTTTTATTATTTATATTTATATATTCCCCGAAACATTTTGAGTAGCCTAACTAATAGGCTATTTTACTAGGCTAATATTAGGAATAGCCTACATTCTTTTTTTCCTTTTTTTTTTTGCTCAGCTCTAATTTATTCAAACACAATTTTCAGCTAAAACACAACAGATCAGAACAAAACCTTTTAAAATATTATAGTCAAGAAACAGGTGACGTTTACCGTTTGAAGCTTTTTATCTGTGTCTATACGTGTGTGTGTGTGTGTGTGTGTGTGTGTGTGTGGTCTCGCGGCAGTTAATTGATTGACTCTGTGATTGTGTTGAATGTCTCGCGCTTTGACACTCGTGCATGACTTACAATCGGCCCAGCACGGGCTCATAACCGGAGGGGCGTTTCAGAATCCCAAACACGAAAGCGGGGTTCCGACTTAAAAGCGCCGAATTATTACGAACGCTGTCCATCGTGGAAAAAAGGAACAACTGAAAACAGCAGTCGCGCCCCCAAATACCCCTCTGTCCTGAGATAGAAAAAAGACGGACGGTGTGTGACTTAAAAAGAGACAAAGCAAGGGTGAGAAGAATAGCCGGACAAGCCGGATAATGGGGTTATCGGCCAGGTGGGTGGTCAGAATACATTTACATGGTGTTACCCATGCAAGGCGCCAAGGTTTGGTTTGGTTTGGAAATAATTGAATAGACAAGAATCTATGGACGCCGACGTCAGCAAAACAAGTCATCATCGTCGTCAAAATGTATATTTCGGTTCTACTGCACAGTTCCATAACAATTGTTTTAGGCTACATATAAACCGAAAAAGTTGTAGCTTATTTTACCTACCCTTTTTTTCACAATAATCGTCACTTTCACAAGTCCAACAGATGCGCATTATGCCGAATATTAATACGTTTAATATTAATATTAATAACCCAAATAATGCAAAACCAAAAAGGACAAAAAGCAAGCAAGTTTGCACGGTAAACTTTAACTCTATCCTAAAAAGACAGATCATTAAATTAAAATTCACCTTTGCAGAATTAGTTTTTAAAAACCTTTAAAATGTCTTTTTTAAAAACCATATACCTATTTATTTATAATACTTTATTCCAAAACTAACTCTAATAAATTTGATTGCTGTTAATTATAAAATCAAAATAATGCAAAAGACAATAACAATAAACAGCTGATTTTAATTTGGTCAAAGAAAAAAACATCATATTAGTGACACATTCAACAACAGTTGCTTTGATTGAATATTATTAAATATATAAAATATTAGATAACAGATTTAAAAAAATTCACTGCATTTAAAAAATCTGGGGTATTTTTTCACATTATCAAAGTGATTTTGGGCCCAAGGCTTTGGTTTATTTCTGACTCTGGCCCTCACATTACAATAATAATAATAATAATAATGTATGATAAAATTTAATGATAATTTATTAATTTCTAATATTTTTAGGTGTATTATGGAGCAGACAACCTGCTGTTGGGCCCCAGAGGATATTCCCCCCCAGAGCATCACTACCAGAGTTACGGCCCACCGTGTGATTCAGCAGCTGCGGGAAACACCGGGAGACTCGGAAGCCCAGTGGGAATACTGCCTCCACCAAACCCCAAAGGATACACTGAGAGCAGCTCCAGTGAACCTGAGTTTCCAGCGCTGAAATCAGTCTACAGACGGACCTTAAGCCACGCCAAGCCACCATATTCCTACATCTCTCTTCTCTGCATGGCAATCCAGCAGTCGCCAACCAAGAGACTGACTCTGAACGAGATCTACGACTGGATCCGCCAGCTCTTCCCGTATTACAGACAGAATCAACAGCGATGGCAAAACTCCATCCGCCATTCCCTGTCATTCAACGACTGCTTCGTGCGTGTACCAAGATCACCAGACTCGCCAGGGAAAGGCTCGTACTGGGCCCTGCACCCCGACTCCGGTAACATGTTTGAAAACGGCTGCTACATGCGTCGCCAGAAGCGCTTCAAGTGTCAGAAGGTGACGTCGCCATCAAAAAATTCGGATGGGGAAGCTGTGAAATCAGAAGGGAAGAAGAAAAAGGTGGAGGTCAAGTCACTCATCTCTTCTTGTAAATCACCTGTGCCTCCTCCGAGTGACACCACAGCACAGCATTCAAGCATATTACCAGTATCCTATCCTGCAACCAAAGCACCTTCTCCTTCCCATCTTTGTCAGCACCTTACACCCTCACACACTTTATTTCCTACCCAGCCACACTTGCCTTCTCTTAACGTCCCGTTCCCAACAATGCCCAGTCCCAGCCTGCAGTCTGTCCCGCCAGCCTCTATGGAATCCAGCTTGCACTGTGAACCTACTTCCCAACACTCCATTTCTGTCCCGCGACTTATGGACTTCCAGTACTGCGAGACTCCTGTGAACTACCCGGTTTACTGCCAGTCTAATTCTCATCCCAACTTCACCTCGTATGCAGGAGACTCTGTTTACTACCCTGGATTTAGCATGTGTTCTGCTCCTCTTCTGAGTTCCTCCTGATCAACCTCCTATAGTCTATTAAGGGCTTTAAAAATGGATTCATTTCTGTTTAGATACTTATAATTGCTGTATATATTAGTTGGACTCATAGCTGGAGAAGTATCTGTTATCTGATGCTGAAGGATTTCTTTGATGAATGTTTCAAGTGAATTCAATTGAATTGAAGGTGTTTGAAGATACATATGAATGTGAATTTCTTGCTGTAAATCTCAAGTAAAATTTTGAACATTCCAAAAGGTGTTAATTATTTGTCTGGTGTGAGGTGCAAGATTATAATCAGACTTTCCGGCTTCCATATTATTTTACTGCTGCATTTTTTAAATTCCTCAAGAGAGTGTTTGGGGAAGAATCAACTCAACAGAGGCATTGTCCTGCTCACATTGTAAAAGATAAACATCATTTCCTGTCTTGACATTCCTCACACTAACCTGAACGAGACAGCCACACTGAAAACTAGTAGCCCTTTAATAGCCACCTTTAGAAATCAATTTAAAAATATATTATAAAGTGCACAGTTTGCATAAAATAGAGCAGACCCTGAACAATAAATAATATAATAATTATTTTTATTTTTATTAACAATTATGAAAAAATTGATAATATAAAATAAATGTAGAAATATTATGCACATCCATTTACTTGTAAATATGTTTTAAATCCATATTTATGGCACGAAAATAATGAAAATAAAACTTCATTATAAAATGTCTAAACAGAAAATCAAACAAAACAATAAGAATAAATAATACATAAAAATTATATATATATATATATATATATATATATGAAAATAATTAGACAATATCAAATAAATAGTATAGGAACATTATGCATATTAATTTACGAGTAAATGAGTTGGAAATAAAAATTCATATTTATGGCACTAATATGTCTTTTAACATAGCAGAAAAAGAAAACTAAAAAAATTATAAATAAAATTACATATGATAAAATAATTAGATAATATAAAATAAATAATAGGAATATTATGCATATTAATTTAACAGTAGATGAATTAAAAAAATAATATTAATTGCACAAACATGTCTCTAAACAGGCAGAAAACCAAAAACAAATAAATACAAAATATTATTGTATTATATATTATCAAATAATGAAATAATATAAAATGAATATATAGGGTGATTATGTATATTAATTTACTAGTGCATGAATTTGGAATAAAAATGCATGTGTATGAAAAAATGCTACATAAATTACAAATAAAATGAAATTATATGATAAAATTATGATAAAAATAATTAATAGAAAATTAATTTACAAGTAAATGAGATAAAAATGAAATAAAAATGCTTATTTATGACGCTAACATGTCTCTAAACAGTCAGAAAAACCTGCATGCTGCACAAACCAATCAAAATACAGATTCACTGAAGATATAAGATAGGTTAGTGGTTAGTGTCCAGACATGCCTTGCGATTTTGACTGGTTGGTGCAGTTGGTGTGTGCTGTCTCATGGGCTGAATGCTAGCAGTAGAAAGGTTGCGACCCCCTTCATCCCCTCCTAGCCTAACCTTTGATTCCTGGGAAAGCAGGATTGTGTTTGAGTGTATGAGAACAATAGGAAGACACTGGTCTTAATGGTGGACCTCCCCAAAGCAGTGTTTTCTCAACAATGGGACACAGGGACACCCACAGCGATCTGAGCAGAAGCCACAGACCCCTCAGTGTGTGTCCGAGATTCAGAGAGAAGCCAGGACGTGAGGAGTTCATGAGATTTCATGGTTGTGATCTACTCCTGCACAGATTATTGCCCTCTTTAGAAGTCGGCTTGTCGACAGATTCTGCTGTATGTTGATATGATGAATGACTGTGCTATGGCTTTCTAAATATCTGAAGAGTCTTGGCTATGTGAGTATTCAGTTCTTAGCATTACAAGGGTGTGAATGTGGATTTGTAGGGTGTGAAGATGCTGTCTGCAGGTCATCAGTAGGCCAGCTGTGGACGCAGACTGTGAGGGGGGGTGGGGGCAGGAGGAAAGGAATTGAGAGTCATGAATTGAGAAATCAACTTTTACTTGAGCTTTTGATATATAAGAGGTCATCATACTAAAAGAATATCTTGTAAGTTTCAGAACTGAAAACGTCCTTGTTACTGAAATAAAAGCTTTTATTGACACCAGGCCCAGCGAACGCCAGATCCTGGAATGTGCCTATGTATAAAAGGCTTGTTAGAGGTGCATCGGCGCTGCGCAGACCGATCGGCATATGACATAAAAGTACCACGAGAGCGATTCAAAAGCTTAAAGAGTCGTCTGCTCTCGAAACGCTCTGGCGGTATGTCATATGCCGATCGGTCTGCGCAGCTACCTAAACGCAGAAGATAATATTTTATTTTATAAGCATTTAATCAATGGCTGCTTAAAACATCTGATGGGGGGTTTGTTCCACTTGTCAAAAAGCTGGTATGTGATTGGCTGGAGAGTGGAAGCTGCCCTGTTGGCATGGCAGCAGCTGAACAGACTAGGCCATGTTGTTTACACAGTGGCCAGCTTTTTATTGCCTGTCTGTGCCTGCGCGTCTCCGTTAGTGTCCCTCAGTCTCCTTTCACAAGGGCTCGGGTAAATATGCCTGTTCAAATAGCCATCACTCAGAGGCAGTGACAGGCCTGTACTCCTTCCCGTAGCGCCCCCTCTTCCCCCGAACCCCCACTCATGCCCCTCGCTTCAGGCCACGCTTCCTATCTGAATGAGAAAGCGTTCAAACTCTTGCTACATTTAAATTAATGCAGAAGAATTCAGGGCAAACACTTTGATTCCCTATAGGACATAAATAATACATTGATAGATTAAAGAAACGCTTTACTGTTTTAGTAAAGTGAAACCATTTCAGCTAGGCTATGTGCTTGGAATAAAATCTATAACTTGGCTTCTCTCATTTAGCGTCATCCACTATTCATCTTCTCTATTATTCTCTCTTCATCTCTGGATCCACCTGTGTTTGCAGAGTGACAGTGGTGTGGTTCTTTCAGGACAGTCAGATAAGCTACCAGCAAATAACAAAAAAAAGATGAGGGACACCCAGCATCTATTTATCCCTTTCATCCCTTTGTAATCTGATTCCTCTATTCATTGCTCGGCCTTGTGGCTCTCTGGCTGGTCTGAAGCTGCTGTTTAGGGTGTGCACCTTGCTCATTTTCGGAAAGCATCGAGTTATTGCAGCTTCTGTCCAGCGTATTCATCCATTGTTGGTTTTCCCTTTCCATTGTTTCCCATTTATGTTCTAGTTTCTGGTTTAATCACAGAAGTGGTCAAACTCATCATCAGACTCCACTATCTCATTTGTGGCTGCAGGATGGTTCTTCTGTGGTAGATTTTCCTCCTCTGAACCAGAGGGTTGATCTGGACAAAAAAAGTTAATAAAAACTATGCTGAATGCAAATAATACAATTTCACTATCCAAATGTGATAGATAGATAGATAGATAGATAGATAACAAGATCTGTGTTTTTAGTCTTTAAAGGGGTCATATGATGCGATTTTAAGTTTTCCTTTCTCTTTGAAGTGTTACAAGCTCTTGGTGCATAAAGAAGATCTGTAAAGTTGCGCGCGAGAGAGCACATACCAGCTTCATCACTGTGTCTGTCACACGACTTGTTGCCCTTTCGGGCTTGAACTGATGGTAAAACTAACGACATTATTAACTGTCTTGATATTTACTTTAAAAGCTGACGCTCGCGTTTATGGTAAGGGACGTTACATTTCCATGCGTGCTTGTGGTGTTCGGCCAATCACAATGCACTGGGTCAGCTGGCCAATCAGAGCAGACTGCGCTTGTCAAAGGAGGGGGCTTTGTTGAAAACGACGTGTTTGACAGAGGCGGGGCATAGAGGACCTACAATAATGTACAGTATTTGAAAAATAATGTGTTTTTGAACATTAATGCATGTCAACATATTCTGTTACATCAAATACACAAAATAATTATCTTTAAAATAGCATCATATGACCCCTTTAAGTATGGTGAACTCAGGTAAATCTCAAAAGACAAATCTGGTACGATTTACATGAATTAATCCTATAGTTTGCAGGTTTTCACTGCAAATCGGATAGATTTAATGTGATTAATTGTACAAAATTGCACAATTTTGTAAATAAGTTGTCAAAAAAACTACAAAATTAAACATACCATTTGATTGGTCTGTCTCCGTCACATCATCCTCCCTATGGGAATAAATAAAAAAAACAAAACAATATAATACATAATATAATGAAACTCACTGCTGTGCTTGGGAGTTGACAAGGTTGAGAAGACCTTCAATATCATCATCATCATCAGGGCATTTTGAATGGTCATCAAAAGGATCTCTTGACCAGGGGTATGCTTTCTCAACCACAACCTCATCATCTTCCTCTTCATCATCTTCTATTTCTTGATTGTAATCCTCTTCCTCTTCAGACTCCTCGAGACTATGCAGAAAGTCAGTATTAGTCCAATGAGTAGAAGATTCATATTAAAAACAAGTGATGAATATTCAAGAACTGATATTTGCATGAATTTAAATATATACCTGTTGTGAATTTCCCTCTCATCTTCTAAATGTCCTTGAGTCTTTCTAGCCTCCTTTTCATTAAAACTGCTGTCTCTCTCCTCTTCCTCCATTGTCTCTCCTTCATCTCGACTATCTGGAATGTCCTCTGGAACATCTCCTTCCTTTTCTGGCTCTCCTCTATCACTGGGTTCAGTCCCATCTCTCTTTTCACTCCCTTTTTCATCACCACCCTGTGCTTTATCATCCAATCCTGTTTCTCCATCTGTGCTTTCCTCATCCTCTTCTTCATCTTCTCTGTGACTTATTTTCTCTTCTGCCACAGTGATGTCACGACTGCCATCATCTCCTTTATCAGAATCGTCTTCCTTTTTAAAGCTGAGTCCTTCAGATCCATCTATCTTTTCAGAGCTGACACTACTCTGAGAAATTTCTTGGCTCCTGCTTTCTTCTTGTTCGTCTTCATCTTGCATCACTGCATCAACATTCTTTTTCAGTGATAATGGATTCTTTGCTGTTACACTTCTTGGATGGTTTTTGATGTATTTTGCTGATTTTGAGTGGCTATCGGAAGCGTCTTGTGATATAGTGGAAGAGCTAAAACAGAGAAATGTGGAAAGATGTTATATTAAGATATGAATGTTTTGACACTGTTTCCAAATCTTAGGAAGATCTATCTCTAACATGTGGATGGCATTGCAAATGGAGCGAAAATATATCATTTTTGTCTGCATGGACTGATAAACGTGTGAAAATGATTCTGCTCATTTGGCTTACCTATGAGATTCGTTCCTATTTTCTGTAGAGTTTGATTTGGTTCTATCTCTTTTTTTCTTTCTCCGTTTTTGCATCGCAGAAACCATGACTTTAGAGGACACAGTGCTACCTTCACTACTTTCTTCATGGTTGATTGATAGATGCACTTCAAGAATAAACATACACGGATTTATAAGGACAGTTTGTTTACATTAGACTAATATCATGTAATATTTTTCCCAAAGAGAAACAAATCAATATAAAGTCACCAAATTTCACAAAACAACTAACCTGGTCTACAGTCTAGCTCAGAAGACCGATCGCTCTCTTTCCCATTCCTCCTGTGTTTTGGTCTCTGGCAACTCTCATTGCATTGGATTCTTTCTTCACTGGGGTCTGGTACATCCATCATACCCCACGTCATGGGGTTCAGCGCTGGAAGTTGTGGCCAGGAAGCACCAGCAGGAGTGAAGTGAGCTGTAGGCATAAACCCTTGCCTTATACCGGCCCACAGATGGTCCATTGATGGTGGCTTTTGCTGGACTGGAGAATGTGACTGACAGACTGAATCTCCAGGTAAAGAATAGTAGGGTGGCAAGGGATAATTCAAGGCTTGAATGTTGTGAAGGTTTTGTAATCCTTTGGGATATTGTTTTGGGGGAGTTTGGAAATAAAAGACTGTGAGCCAGTTAACCAAGTGGGTGGAACGCAAGGATGATGGTTGTGTCTTTCAGCATTTTGCTTGATGTCTAAAGAAAAAGGGCCTTGTTAAGAGTTTTCTCAAAAAATTTTGATATGGGGCATGAGAAATTGCTAAGCACATTACCTTTCCCTGTCTGATGAGTGTTTAGCATGGTGTGAGAAGGCTGAGATGGGTCTGGAGAATTGGAGGACAGAAGATGGCCTCTAAAGTCAGACCTGTGTTCGGCCTTAATTCCTTCATCCTCCTCCCTCTGCTGAATATTGTTCTTTAAGTGCTGTTGTACCTGCTGGAGAAAAACCAGACATCACAATCGATGCAAGTGTACTGTTTCCCATTAACTTTTCAGTAACATTTTCAGACATTCAGTAAAGACCCGTAACCTACAGTTTTGTTCATGTTTGTCCTGACACCTTTTAATAGACATGACCTTCCCATAAAAAGCACCTTTGAGTTTTCAGAAACTCTTATGTCTTTGAGTCTTTGCAGATACTGTTCATACTGAACCTTTTGAAGAGAAAATGTGTAGGTTAGTTCAACAACAACAAAATAATCATGTACATGCAATGCAAAATATAATGAATCTTTAAGTTTTAGAGGACAAAAGCAGGTCATGTGATGGATCTGCTTATCAATGCATTATAATACATGGCACACTCTCAGAAAAAGCAATGTGCAAAAATTGACTTTTAGGGATTGTCACTGTGGCAGTACTGTTAAAGAGACATTTTTATACCTTATTTCTCCCTAAAAGCTGCATAGTAGTATGGAAATTGCGATAGTCTTCCTTATTGTGACATGTATCCAAGTGAAACAGCTTCTTGAATAAGAAGAAATGTAGGGTGGGACTTGATTTTGTCTTTCAGCAGTTGATTGGATCATTGCATTGTTGTTGTTTGCTAATTGCCAAAAAATTAAAATTGTCAGTTTTGATTTCATGGTGACTTTAAGGGTAAATATGCCTACTCTAATGTACTAATATGCACCTTTTAGGGTTAGGTATGTCATTCCTTTAACAGTACTGCTCCAGTAACTGACAAGCCCCTAGTACAATTTTTGCATTTTTTCCCCCCTTTTTTCTGACAATACATGTATATTCGTGGAAGGAAGGGAAGTTGTGTGTTAGCTGACCCGTATAGTGTTCATGGCTTCGCCCTGCGCTCCTGCTCACTGATCTCCAACCAGCAGCCCTGCAGCCCTGCTACTACATCACAACAAACACATCATGAACTCATTCACTGAAGAAGAAGAAAATCCAAAATGAATGCCAGAATCCTCTAAAATCAAGAAGAATTCTCTAAAACCAAAATAAAATTATTCTGATAACCTGGAAAATTCAGTTTATCTTGTAGGATCTTATTTTTCTTATAGAGATCTTGTTTGATCCCAATTGTTCCAAAAATATGCTATTAACATTTAAAAACTTTTTTGACAATGTTACATCACAGCACAATGTGATATAACAAATTCATTTATCCTCAAATTCTGAATTCAACAAATATCGACATTAGGATGTTTAATGAATGTATAGGTTTCTTACAGGCAATGATTTCGCTGCTGTGATTGAAGATCATTCTGAAGCTGCATTCTCCTTTGCTGACTGTAGTATTATTAGAGAGATAATTAGAGAGAGATGTTAGTTAATCACACATACCCAGACTACAGAATGATTTAAAAGAGCAGTTTATGTCATTGTTCCAAACCTGTATGGCTTACTTTGTTGTTATAGGCATAATGATAATCACCATTCACTTTCATTGCATCTTTTTTAGTAAGCTATACAATGAATGGCGGTCTTTCATTTTACATAACCTACATATTCTACAGATGATGTTATTTCTTTCCTATAGGTTTCAAACAACACGAGGGCGAGTAAATAATGACAGAATAGTCAGTTATGGGCAGAGGCGGACAAAGTACACAACTCCATTACGTAAGTGAAGGTACAGATACTGCTGTTCAAATATTGGAATAAAGAGCTTTTAGATTGTTAAAAACCTATGGGGAAAAAACAAATCAAAAAAAATATTATTTAACAACCCTACCTACCCACCACAAAAGCAGGGTGGTAGTGATCTCACACAGCTCTGGACACATCTATGTTGTGTAGCCATTCATCCACATTTGAACAGAGTGGACAGTGAAATTGCTGTAAATACAGACTGATAAGGAAGAAAATAAAAAATCAAACCTGCTTTAAAACCCAGCAACACAAATGTAGTTGTATAACTTTACAACAGCTAAACTGCTTTAACAAAAGAGCAAAACAGCCAGACTTATTTGACATCAAAACAAACATTTAAAAAATGCTGTCTAATGGCTCTCGTGGTACTTTGATGTCACACACAGAACAGTCTGTGCA